GAACTCCTGAGCTCAAACAATCCGCCCGCCTCGGTCTCCCAGAGTGCTAGGATTACAGGCGTGAGCCACCGCGCCTGGCTGGGAATGGTCTTTTTAACAGAGTTCTAGGTCAACTGGATATCTATTTGGAAAGAAAAAAACGTTACCTTGATCCCTACCTCACACCATACACAAAAATAAATTCTCAATAGACTACAGATTTAAATATAAAAAAACAAAACAACAAAGCTTCTAGAGAAAAAGAGAACAGCATTGTGACTTAAAGTAGGCAAAGATTTCCTTTGCACAAAAAGAGTTAATGCTAAGGGCCAGAATGGATACACTGCACTATGCTAAAATTAAAAACTTCCGTTCATTCAAATATACCACTGTAACAGTGAAAAGGCAAACCGTAGAGGGGGAGAAGGTATTTACAAACATATACAATAGCTCCTCTTTATCTGCAGGAGATATGTTCCAAGACTGCCAGTGGATGCCTGAAACCTCAGATGGTACCAAACCCGACGTATACTATGCTTCTTTGATCTGATAACCGAGAAGGCTACCAAGTCATTAGCAGGCACATAATATACTTGTACACAGTGTGGATATGCTAGACAAAGGAATGAGTCATATCCTGGGTGGGATGGAGCAGGATGGTGCCAAGATTTCATCATGCTGCTCAGAATGGTATGCAATTTAAAACTTATGAATTGTTTATTTCTGGAATTTTCCATTGGCTCTTTTCAGGCTGTGGTTGATTGCAAGGGACTGAAACTGCAGAAAGCAAAACCATGGATAAAGGGGACTATTGATCCGACAAAGTCCTTGGATCTAGAATATATGAAGATCACCTACAGATCAGGAACGTAGACTACCTAATGCAAAAATGAGTAATCACTTGAAAAATGACTTCGCAAAAGAGGACATCCAAATGGAACAAACACATGAAAAGGTGCTCAACTTCATCTGTCATCTGGGAAATAAAAGTAAAACCACAGTAGAACACCACTACACAACACCGGAATGGCTGGAATGAAAAAGACAGATGTAGATCAACTGAAATTCTCACACAGGCTGGTGGGAGAGTACACGCACAACTACTGCGCAGTTTCTACTAAAGCTAAATCTACACATAGCCTGTGGCTCACCTCTAAGTATACAGATGGTCCTCCCAACTTATGATTGCTCGACTTACGATTTTTCAACTTTATAATGGTATACGCTTTCAGTAGCAACCATACTCCAAGTATTCAAACACCCATTCTGTTTTTGACTTTCAGTACAGTATTCAATAAATTGCATGAGGCCGGACGTGGTGGCTCACACCTGTAATCCTAGCACTCTGGGAGGCCGAGGTGGGAGGATCCCTTGAGCTCAGGAGTTACTAAAATTGAAAAAATTAGCCAGGCATGGTGGCACGGGCCTGTAGTCCCAGCTACGCAGGAGGCTGAGGCAGGAGGATCGCTTGAGCCCAGGAGTTTGAGGTTGTTGTGAGGAGCTGGGGTTGTGATGCCCCAGCATTCTAGCCTTAGCAACAGAGGGACACTCTGTCATGCACTAGAATGTTCCCAGTAGTACTATTTGTAATAGCCAAAAACGGGGAACTACCTTGATGCCCATCAACAGTAGAATGGATAAATAAATCGGGGTGCATTTATTAATACATAATCAAAAATGATACAGAATGAGAATGAATAGGCTATATATATACAGGACAGTGTGGCTGACGCCCAGAGCG